AAAACATGACTTTTTAAAGTCCTGATAGAGAGGACATAGCATAACATTTTATTTTTCAAAAATTGTCTTATGCTCTAAACAATGTAATGACATGTGTCACGTATCTGGTCCATGAACTTCCGTCTGCTAGCCATCAGAGGTCACCCTTCCCATTTCATTGACTCTCGCACTACACACTGTTGCATATCACCCCGGACTACATATCCCATCATCCACTGCACTGATGACACACACAAAGTTGATTGCACACAGCACTGATTGCACACAGCTGTTATCACTCACACATCCCCTATTTAACGCTCACTCTGATCCCATTCCACTGCCGAGTATTGTTTAGCGATTATCACTCCCCTAGCGATAGCTACATTACAGAGCCCGTTTAGTTTGTCTTAGCCTCACCTTAGTCTTACCTTGTCTGTGTTCTCGTTTCTTGATCTTCGCCTGTGTCTCTCGGATTCCTCCTCTCGTCTTGCCCTATTTTGATTCTGTTTGCCCCTGCCTGGACCTTGCCTTGTACCTGGATTTATCCCTCTAGTCTCGCCCCTTTGATTCTGTTTGCCGATCGTTCACCTCCGCTAGCCTTAGGTTTCTTCTTGTGTCTTGCCCGCTATATACCTGTCTGCCATTATCTGACCCATGCCTGTTTTATGACCACGTCTCTGTCTTCTCCTAATAAATAGTTTGCAGTTGGATCCGCACGTCTCACGTCTCGTCAGCCCCGTAACAACATGAAACAATACTAAATTCACAAAACTTTTTTTTTCCTGACCAAATTAGTTATTTTTTTAATCATCTATAATTATTGATGATTGCATTGTAAAGTTCATTGTAAAGAATTTTTTTTTATAAATTGTTTAATACAATGTTTCCTCCAAACCTTTAATTTATTCTCCCCAAAATAGACTTTTGTCATAATTAAAGGGGTCATGAACTGCCTTTTTTATTTTTATTTTGTACTGTTCTCTGAGGTCCCCTTATAATGTTATCAAGATTTTTACATCAAAAATCATCATAAATTAGAAGTAATAAGCTATGTTCTGTCCTGTTTTTAACCCCCTCATCAGAACGCTCTGTTTGCATAGGCATGGCAGATTGTAGACTTGGAAGTAAATGCCCACTGCTATGATTGGCTAACAGTTGTGTATGTTTGACTGCCTATATTCCTCATAGATGGACGCTGCTGTGATTTAGGTCAGAAACGCATAAATACTCAGCAATAGTGATCACGTAATAAAAACAGGTACTCACACTTGTGTGTTACGACATTACTGTCGGATCCAATATAGCGGGCACAGCGTCATCTTTTAGTTGCAATCTTACTGAAAATCCTGCGTTGAATTGTGCCTTGTTTGTAAACTAATCCGCGGTAAAATGACGTGAACAAAGGACCAAGTTCTTTCTGTCTGGATCTTCAATAAAAATAAAGTTTATCCACTCTTTCCGAATGTTAGTATCAGAAGGAAGGCAATGCAAAGACTTGTGTGTTTCCACAACTTGGCACAGCACAGCATCTTGTTTTCTTTGGAGCCATCTTTATTGTTTGGTATCTGCATAGACCTGTGGCCCATTCTTCGTACGTCGCTAACTCAGTTAGCTGGATTTGATTGTTGATGATTTGGCATGATCTTGGATAGTTTGGTTCTCCGAAGCTCATCCCGGAGTTGCTGTCATAGCAACAGGTCCATAAGCTTAAACCTGCTTGGGAGCAGGCTTATTTCATGTAAACAGGATTAGATTGCATCTTTTTAAGCAGAATTAATACTTAAAATCTGTCCTCTACCACCGCTACTTTATTACAAGAGTACTCTACTACTCCAGGGACAATAATTTAAAAATAATAATAATTTAAAAATTAATTTAAAGATAATATAATAATGTTGTGTAGTCTTTAATACTACAGACACAGCCAGCTTTACTCACTGAAAGATTGACAGCTATTATGGGAGTGGCTTGATGGAGCGCAGGAGATGCAGATAACATGATCTTGACCCTTAAGAAACTTTAATTAATGCTGTCACGTAACAAATGTGTTCAAATATAAAATTAAATGAATTGCTAATTACATTGAAATATAAATGTAAAATATTAGAAATCGTGAATATAAATAATTGGGAATCATGTAAAAAATTTAAATAAAATAAAAACAGTGCACATTTCATTTATCTATTATAACGTTTATGTAGTTTTGTTCGCTTGGCTGACGTACGAAGAACGGGCCCCTGGATTCCCACTCTAGTTATTTACCTACTACATGCGCAAATTGGTGGGCGGGGCTAAACAGGCAGTGATGTAGAAGCATGCGTTGATCTTCTTCTGCGGAGGCGGTGTTTAGCCACACTATTACATCATAGAGTGGCACATTCCACAAGCTGTCGTTTTGGCAGACTGGCTTCAATATAAGCTGTTTTTAGACTAACAAGAAAGTTTTGAGTTCTGAAACTTACAGGATGTTTTATTTATAGTACAATGACCTCTTATATGTCAAATGATCAAGGGAATTTTGGTTTCTCAGTTCATGACCCCTTCAATATATTAAAATTCTAATTCTAATGTTCTTTAGTGTGATATGTTGTTTGTACTGTATTCTTGCAGATCTGCAATAAAATAAGATGATCAGACTTTCCTTTCACACTCGACTTTGAATCACGAAATATGCATCAAAATAGTATGACAACTTTTTTCTCAATTATTGTAAACGGAGGCTGGTGTCTTTATAAGTATGTGTGCTGAATTTTATATAAATAAATCACAACAATCCCATGCTATGGATACATAAAGATGCATGTCCCCTTGAAAATCAGTCTTACTATTTCATATGTACAGTAAGCGTATGATATTGTAAGATCTAAAAAAAAATGCCCCTGTCTAATTTCACAGAATCTTTTATCTGTCAGAATCAGTATTTCATTGTAAATCTATGTAGAGCGGAAGTTATGGTGAGCTTCATATAAGTATGAAAGGAAAAAAACACCCTCAACCACATGCTATTCACACCTCAAACACAAGCATCCTACAGTAGTCTCATGCTCATGCAGAAGCTGTCTGTCCACCCAACAGATCAAACCATTTCTGTACAAAATGAAGCAGACGAAGCAGCATATAATAGTATTAGTAGATCTTTGTCACTGTACATGTACAGTGAAACAGGTGGAGCAATCTCCAGATGCCTTCATAGTAAATACAAATATAAATACAAATACACAAATGCATGTACGAATCCAAACACGAGTTTTATTCAATAAAGCCTGTGCTACTATTCAATATACTATGCAATAAAATACAATTAAACCTCAAAACAACAAATGTACAAACATTATATGCAATAAGACAGGGAGTGACAAGTGCTGAGATAGTGTAATGTGAGAGCCATACTGAACTGAATATTTATGACAGGTTTTAGTTTTTGATTGCTTTCTTGATGCCACACACACAATTTGCATTTGAGGATCTTGCAATTCGTGACTGGTATTTTGTTTTGCTCTATCCTCTGTGCTTCTGTGTTCGTCAATATGTCAAACATAAGTTTTTTTCACTGAATCAAACCCAGCTGAATTTTGCTGGATTTGGGATGTTCTTGGGGTGACAGATGCATACACAACATGATTCCCCTCTTTAACGTTCTGTAAAAAACATCACACAAGAGATAATACTAATAAAACTATTGTATTAAAAATGTGGTGTCCTGAAGATTGTTTGAGATTGAATGTAAAATAACAGTCATATCATTTAACGATAAAACGAATATATTCTTCCTACTGCTAGGCTAGCATGAAGCAGAGTGAGACTGGGTTCTCAGTGGTTTTGCTTCAGGATCCAAATTTTACATTGGGCATCAAGTGGTGACGCAAAATTGTTCATCTTTCAAAAGTAAACATTTCCATAAAATCAAATATTGAAATGAAGTAATATTACACTTTTAAAAAAAAAAGCAAAAATTGTGACTTTACATCAGCTTGTCACTGAGACAGTACACTTACACCTTCTCTATCCCTAAAGGGTTCATATTACTACATTAGAGTAGTAATATGTACCCTAAAAAATAAAAAATACACACTCATAAAGTACAACTATGCACCCTTTAGGGATAGAGAAGGTACAAAGGTATTACTTTGAGGGCACTGACCATCAAACGATAACCGATTGTTCCAGCAATAGGTTATTGGTGCAAAATTTTATAAATGTTTATAAATACCTGATATGATGCTGTTGTGTGTAATGTATATGATTGATCATTATACAAAAATAAAAACACATCAAAATCTGACTCACAGCTAAAATAATATAGAGACTAAATGCAGAGATTAAAGTTTCTTACCAATTTGTGTACATTTCTTTTGTGGAATGTTGTCTCAGCATAAGTTATTTCTTCATCAAAAGTCTGGACTGCTTAAAGAATAATAATAATAATAGATTAAAACAACAAAACTAAATCTGAATGGTTTCTTCACAACACGTGTATTTTTATTAAGGCTCAAATGTAAGTGTTGTGCAATGCAATACTTAAATTACATGCAATTAATAATAAATAAATAAAAAACAATACTGCAATTTTTTAAATGCCATTTATGAATTTGACATTCCAACGTACATAAAAAGCCCTTGGACTATACAATAATTATATTTAGAACAATATTCCTAACACAATTTACATTGACAAATTGTCATTCATAGTGATGCTAATTTGAACACCAGCAGAGAACTGATGTAGTATTATGTAAGATTATGCTCATAAATTGGAGAAAAGTTGTTTTATTATGGAAATAATGTAGATAAGCATTTATGAGTAAATGTGAGACGAGTAAGGAATATGCAAACATATTCCGAAACCCAGTAACTGCACACATTATTTTGTTTTTCTTCCATTAAAAAGAAACTAGAGGGCTTTAACTTCCAAATTATGAGAATAAATAAGATTAAATGATAATTAGGGCTATCAATTGATTCAAATATATTAGTATTATAATACTTGTTTAAAAGGAGTAGGAAATACTTGCCTTCTCTGTCAGTTTTTCTACATTTCCTGCAGAAGCAGAAGATCCCGACTGCAGCGGCAATCAACAGAGATCCAGCAGCAGCAGCAGAAATCAACACTATCAGAGAGTCTGGAGGAGGAGAAGGAGAGTAAAAGAGAGTCATTGATGTTAGTAAATGTGTACTAAAATATCAGCACTGCCATACCTGAACATGTGTGACAGAGTTGACTGATGTCCAGATGTGTGGTCTGGTGGCTGATGGGATTGTTGAGCACACAGCTGTAGCTGTTTTTATCCTGATATTCCACCTCCAGAGGTAGAGAGAGACTGATGCTGAGATCAGACACACTGATGCTGGACAATAAACTGTTTCCTTTGTACCAGGAGAGAGTCACATGACCCACATTCACCACTGAACACAACAATGAACAATTTGATGATGATGATGATGAAGAGCAGTCTCTGTTGATGACAGGAACAGACAGACGAGCTGTAAACATGAGAGAATAGAGAGAAATATGAACAAATCTAACCAACCGTCATTTTCAGTTCAGTGTGTTGAGTGAATGTTTCTATCGTCTCAAAATATAAACAATTAAACATTTCAATATGTAAACAATTAATAAAAAAATGTAGAGGGCAGGGTTGGTGATCTCTACTCACCATAGACAGAAACATTGAACGTTTTTGATGACAGTTTAGCTGCAAACATCAGTAATTGATATACTCCAGTATGTTTGGTTGTGGTGTTTGTGATGATCAGAGATCCAGTTTGATCGTCCAGCTTCAGTCTGTCTCTGAATCTCCCATCAGGAACATCATATGTGGAGAAGATTTGTTTCTTTCTTTTGATTTTAGCTATGAGAATCTTTTCAGCTCCAAATGTCCAAGTTATGTCATCATTAAGTATTTCAGTAAGATCAGAGTTTAAAGTGACAGAATCTCCCTCCATCACTGACACTGACTGTATTTCATTTGTATCTGCCCCAAACACACCTGAAGAACATGAAGAGAGGCAGATTAAGGCTCATGTTGTTTTGCAAAGCCAGAAATCAACTGTGCATTGAAATGTTTAACCCAAAAAAGGGCAAAACCATAGAGACATCAGAAAATTTATTTATTGCTATTTTCAGTCTTATTGGGACTCAAATAATATAATATAATATCTTTTTTTTTCTCTTTCTCAAAACTTGACTCTTATTTTTGATTTGAATGGTTGTATCCTTCAGGATACGTCGCCCCTTTGGGGGTATAAATTCACTGAAAACAGAACACTTGTTTACACTTATACAACATGGTTGTAATTCCTGAATGCTTTGGAATGCAGACTTAAGGTTTGTCTCTTTTTAAAGAAGACACGTAGCATATTATTGCTGAAGTGAAAGCATTTCAAAAAAAGAAAGTATAAGCAAGTTATAGAAGTTGAAGTTTACAGTAAAGATAATGTACTATTTTTTATTTTTTTATAAAATTAATATTTTATCAAATATGTTGCACTCTAAAATTGCAAAAAGAAAAAAAATGTCTAATCAAGTTATGTTTCAAATTTGAAGTTGATATCACAAAACTTGAAGTTCCTGTGAGATGTTGTTTGGGCACTAAATATAACCACTGGGTTACACCCAAAATCTATTTAATTTTTTGATGCAAATTTCTGCCACAAATCAGTCAATTTCTGTCACAATATCACTTCTATTACAAAACAGTGACCAAATATGAAACCTTGACTGTCAGACCTTTCCAACGATATGTTTTGTCTAGATTACAAAACGATTTGATTTTCTAAAACACACGCATACGAGTCACAGTCTTTAAATATGTTTTTATATCTTGATTTATACCCCTAAAAGGGCGACGTATCCCCTGAGATACAAACATTTAGAGACAGATTACAAAAAATGTAAGTATTTAATTCAACAAATTTCAATGCAAACCTAACAAGCTAATGCTAAACAACAGCTTTTTAAATATGTATGTCCCCTCAAACATGTAAATATGTGAACTAGATCAACTTTTATCGGAGGGTGAGTAGATTTCCCACTACAGGCGGTCATGCAGGTTTAAATGCTGCCCGTGAGCTAAACAAAGAATGGAGAAACAGTCACCTCGTCTAAATATTCACAACAAACACCCTTTTAAAATGAAAGCAAGAAATAAGACCTACACATTCACTGCTTCTCCATGCAGCTTCTTAAATGTTTGATTCCCCCAGGATGCGTCACCCCTTTTAGGGTTAAACATGAACTAAAGAACATTCAGAGCAGCAGCAAAGAAACAACAGCAAAGTGAAAAAAGGTAAATGTTTGATCTTTAATATTTTTAAACATATCTACTGAAAACTGTGACGTTACATTATTTATTTAAATAAATAAATAAATGCATGGTGATAATTACAGTTTGAAAGTACAAGTTTAATTGTGCTGGAAATTTTCGATAGATTTTTTAAAATAAATGATATCAGGTATCCAAATGTCCGTGACTTTTGTAGTTATTTATGATTACTGCAGAAGTGTTTTAAAAAAATTATAAAAGTAGAGGTAACACTTTACAATAACAGTACATGAATAATCATGTACTAATACCTATATAAAATATTACTTAATTATTAACTAATAATGAGTTAAGGCATGTACTACTCAAGAACTAATGAAATGAGTCAAGAATTCATGTGTGAAAGCTTACCCCAAAGTGTTAAAACATTAACTAACAAGGTGGTTGTTAATCACAGATACATAGTTAAGATGAGTTCTTGAATAGTGTATGCCTTAACTTATCATTATTTCATACTTAAATAATATTTAATTTAGGACAGAAGTACATGATTATTCATGTATTGTTATTGTAAAGTGTTACTAAAGTAGAAAATAATGTAATCTGAACTGTAGCAGCAGCTTTATAACTCTGAAATTTAAAGAAATTAAACCATAAAAATGTTTTAAAACTTACCAATCAGACTCCAGCAGTACAAATAGAACAAAAAAAGCATGTCAAGGCATTGAAAGGTCTGAACTAATAAGACCATCTGCTAAAACACTCAACCGGTTTAGCTGGTGTGTGAATCTTGGACACTCCTAGTTGACACACGAACACTCTGAACGTGTTCTGAACATAGGCCTTTATATATATAAACTCATAATGGTGGAAGACATTATTCATTTTTTCAGTTAACTACATTTTTTGAAAAATATTCAAAACATAAAAGTAATAGAATATTGTGTGGTATTGAGCCTAACCCCTAGTGAGTTTATTTGCAAAAACAGACTCCATTTTGTTTTAAATTTCAAAAATCATGTTTTTTTTTTTATTATTCTGCATTCCAATTAATATCAATTAAACTGCAGTTGGGTTGTTTGGATAATAATAATAACTTAAAAAAATGCAGCTAGCTAACACAATAAAACACAATAAAAACATGATTTAGGAAAATTAATTAAAACATAGTTATCTGTTTTTGCAAATAAACTCTTCATATGCAGTTGATTCAATTGCTAAAACCATCTGACGCCTCACAGTACCAGTTCAGCTCGAGTCAAACTGAAACCTGCTGTGGTTGGTTTTCATCAGAAATGTTGTTTGATCTGTTAGGTGGACAAACTTGTTTCTGAGAGAGAATGGGAATTTAGAGCATGTGTGTTTAGTTTGTAGGTGAAGAGCTTCTTCCTGCTTCTATATACAGCTCATACTCTTTCGTCTACAGAAAGATTAAACCAAGACGAGAAACTATTGTTTAGGTATTGTTTAGGTATTGGGGCTACAGCAGCTGCAAGTACGCGGAAACCTCCAAACAATTAACTACGATGCAGTGATAGAAACACATGACAAATTATGACAAAAAGTAGTGACTTTAAAGGGGGAAAAAACTATTAAAACTTAATGTCAAGATTTTTTATTATAGTTTAGTTGTTTAGATTTCACACGTGTGTCAGTCCAACTGGAAACAAAATCGCTGTGATGCTACACCTCCATGTAGAAGAAGAAAGCCGTTGTGTTTACAACTGTGACAATGAGCACTTACCAGGATCAAATAAATGCTGGATTTTCAAAGTATGTCAAGCTCGCAGCATAGAGACTTTATTATTGAAAAAATTAGATGAGACATGACAGAAGACAGTAGAAGAAAACAAAGAAATACACCAAAACCAAAGACTAGCAGATGAGCAAACAAAGACTGTGTAGTGCAAAGACTCCATCGTCCGGCACGTCCGTGCTACGTTAGCTGAAGGTAAAGTGCACACTCACTGTTTCCCTGGTGCTCGTGTTCTCGATGTTTCTGCGCAAATACCCGCGATCCTGAAGGGCGACGAGAGCACCGGAGCGGTCGTGCTTCACGCGGGGGTTAACGACACCAAGCTGCGGCAGACGGAGACACTGAAGAGGGACTTCAGGAGCCTGATCGAGACGGTGCGCAGCACATCACCCACGACAACGATCATCGTGTCAGGACCGCTTCCCACGTATCGACAAGGACACGAAAGGTTCAGTAGACTTTTTGCTTTAAATGAATGGTTATTGTCATGGTGTAAAGAACAGAAACTGCTCTTTGTTAATAATTGGAATCTTTTCTGGGAGCGTCTTAGGCTTTTTCGCACTGATGGCCTGCACCCCAGCAGAGTCGGAGTGGAACTCTTTTCAGACAACATCTCCAGGACGCTGAGCTCCATATGACTAGTAAGTCAAATCTCAAATAACTGCCCTGAAGACTTTTGTTCTACCCGCTTAAATGATAGAAGTACGTGCGCTGTACAATCTATAAAGACTGTGTCTGTTCCCCGAATAGTGAGGTCAAAATATAAATTTAATGCAGGATCTAGAAAAAATCTGATCGTGATTAAACCAGAAAAATGTAAAATAAATGAACAAAAACAATTTTTAAAGTTTGGGCTCCTAAACATTAGATCACTCTCACCCAAAGCAGTTATTGTAAATGAAATGATCACAGATAATCGTTTTGATGTACTCTGCTTGACTGAAACCTGGCTAAAACCTAATGATTATATTGGTCTAAATGAGTCTACTCCACCAAGCTACTGTTATAAGCATGAGCCCCGTCAGACTGGTCGTGGCGGCGGTGTTGCAACAATATATAGTGATATTCTCAATGTTACTCAGAAGACAGGATACAGGTTTAACTCATTCGAAATACATCTGCTTAATGTTACACTGTCAGATATGCAAAAGAAATCCATCGTATCTCTTGCTCTGGCTACTGTGTATAGACCACCAG